AGCACTACTATACATAATGTAAACATAGTTTATTCAAAATTGTATTGATATACTTAAATTTAAATAGTTCTGAAAATTATTTGAAAGTTATTGTGTCAGAACAATTAACTAAACTTCAATTCGGGTACATCAACAATCTCTGAATATTTAGGAGGAGGTTGTTTATGCAATGGTACTTCTGGTAAATATAATGTCACAGTAGGAGAAATGTCAGACTTCTCAATAAGCATCTCTTTATAAGAATCTTTGGATTTTTCTGAACAATTTTCTAGATATAGCCAAAGTGCAAACAAAGCTGCAGCTGCAATAGCAGAAAATAAAAGCCACTGTGGTAGACCAATATGTCGCGACACGCACTGAAGCCAATCAGATCCAGGAATTGAAGCTGACTGCTCATTCTCACCAGAGTAGTCTGATGGTACACCATAATCTATTGTCTACATTATTATTAAATTAAAAAATTTATATTATTCACTATAGAAGGTAATGAAATTAAAAAACAATACTATATTCTATTCATAAAAGATCAGAAAGGATCTAGAATTTTTCATATAAATATAATAAGGCTAACAATTCTCTGATGTATTTTTATATACCTGCATTTTTTATTCTTTATTATATAAGTATTTCTTCCAATTATTCAATATAAAACTTACCCCAGCATCCAAAGGAACAGTTTTAATATATGTCTGTGGCAATCTAAACCCATTTAAATCCCACCATCCTGGGAAAAGTTCCTTACGTAAACCAGGGTCACTTAAAATATCATTTTCAGGCATGTCAGGTAACATAAAAAGTGTATTAGAATCTGCACCTTCCTCTACATATACTGCGTCAGTAAAGATTGTTAACAGATCAGAAAAACGCTGTCTGCCCATAAAATCACAGCCAGTAATACATGCATAGCGACCTTGTGGCAATGAGTATGCTTCTGCACATGCTATAAAAAAATAAATAAATATTACTATTGCTCATACGTATTGAAGTTAAAAAGATTTATCAATAACTTGTTTGGTAAAAGAACAAGTAATCAAATCATTATATTTGATTACTCTTCTCTCATTATTGTACAATAGAAATCTATCTCACAGTAATCTATTAAGAGCTATAATATACAATAATATCTATTACATACAGGATTCGCAGGCATCTCTGGTACCATTTAAATTGTTTGGTTCAAATTCATAATGTAAGTCCACTAAATTATAGAATCTACATCCACGTTGACAGCATGACTTGACATATTTATTCTGCAAATTGAAATGTCATATTTCTGTTAACAGTTATGTGTTATCTATAGGATGTCACAATACCACTGACATGCAGAAAAGAGACATACATTTGTGAATGACAGAGGTGCTTTTTCACATAAATTAATGCACGGATCCTCGCGATTTACAGTACTGGAAAATGTATCGCTTCGCGCGACATTCACAAGAAATAATAGCAACAAAGCAATAATTTCCTTTCTTTCTTTCATTTCAGAACGTTATCTTTCTTCAAAGACAGTGCTCAATGTCTGGACCAAAATAATTCGTTAAACGGAGAAACTTCACTCGCGAGAGGTTGATAGCTCGCCGAATAATCGAGTAAATATCGATTTAATTATGGTGGGAACGCATCGCATTGGTCGAACGGTTTATCACCTATCAGAACAGACCAATGGTTTTTTGAATTACATACACACATATTAGCATACATACATTGTCTACAAAATTTTATATTTTCACTATTTCTATTACAATTAAGAATGAAAAAAGTTTGAATTAAAACGTTATCATGCTTAATCCATTTATTCTATACATACGCTTGATCTGAGAAGTCGAAAGTTACAAAAAAATATTCTAATACCGATGACTACAACAATTCTACTATCTATTGTTATTATTATAAATAAAATGGAATATGTTTAATTAATACGTTTTTGCTATGAAAATTATACATACGTACATATTGTAGTGGATTTTAAGATAGTTTACTAATATTTTAAAATCTCGAAATTGGTTTAAAAAATTACATGCATACGTAGAAATTGACGTTTTTGAAACATTTAAATGTGTTAAAATAATATCAAATGTTGGAGTCATATCTTGCAATGATACCAGAAACAAATTAAAAATTTCAATACTTGAGAATTTACATATAAGAAAACTTAAACAGTGATTTCAGGTCAAAGATTCTAAAAGAATTATAATTGCAGTTCTTTTTCAAGTTATTAACAATTAATAATCTGTCTACGTAATCCACCAATAGTAGCGCACGAGTTTGATCATGAGTACATGTACGAATTATATGTATGTTTGTATTTTAATGTACAAATGTGCTACGCAAAAGAGAGGGACACAGAACTTATTGCAGCATATAAACACGTCGCTATTGGTTGACTTTAATTTTTAATTCACATAGTTTAAAAAACAAAGCTATAAACCCAATTTTTTACTTTTGATTTTCGTCTTATATTGTTATCGCTTGAATTTTTCCCACCTGTTGTCAAACACTATAATTCAATATTATTTGAAATAAAAATTATTACACATTATGATGTAATTTAAAGATAAATGTCACCAAGAAAGATGTTTTGACTTTCTCTAGGAAACATATGGAGTACATGTACTACACATATATGCATGCATGTAATATAAAGAGGACTGAGGATATCAGTGTCGTGTGCAATCTGCCAGACCACGCCGGACTATCCGTGTCGTCAGGAACGTGATCTATTGTTAATATTTTAAGTATGTTTAGTTTATTATTTCTGAATTACCTGTTCTATTTTTTAAATATATTTATATTCAAAGAATCGCGATATAAAATAATTAAATGTAAATAAATTTATATTCAATATTAATTAAATTACATTATTTGTAATAATGATTACAATACTTTATCATTTTTGACAGAATGTCAGAGGAAGAAGGTTTTGCAACAAAAGCTATTCATGCTGGACAAGATCCATTACAATGGACACATTGTTCAGTAGTACCTCCTATTGTAATGTCTACAACTTTCCGTCAAGATGGGCCTGGACAACATAGAGTAAGTTTCTTTTACGTAGGAATCGATTTTCATAATAGTAATTTTGTAATAAACTAACATAT